TAGCCCAGTTTGTGCTGATTACAGTGTTATTAAACTTAAGCCATTCAAATGTTTATAAGCAACTGAAAAAAGCGCAAATGTCAGGGCATGTCAAAACTTCTCCAGGGCGCCAAAACACCCTCAGACCCCAGAGGGTTAAAGAGCCAGAACACTATTAACCAAATTGTAAAATGGTCCATCCCCTGTATTATGAATTCCAGCATCATCTGTCTAATAGACGGTTTAGAGTACCGCAGTGTACAACAAAAGGGTACAAGAACAGCTTGGTCCCAGAAGTGATTAATAATATGAACATTAATAAGATGAAGTAATGGCTTTGTTATAATATATTAGTGTTGTTTTTCTAGTGTTGTCTATTGTATTGTCTATGATATGTATGAGAAACAGCCTGAATTTGTTCCCTGAAACCTAATTTACAGACAGGTATAAAATAAAGGAACCTGAACCTGAACTTTCTGAAGAGTGCAGAGGCTGAAAAAGAAATGGCAGCAATTATGGAGAACTATAAGGAGATGAAAGAAGATTTAACAAAGGCATTAGCTAAAATGAAGGAGCTTGAGGAGAAAATGGTGTCACCTTAATTTTCTGTAAAGCTGCTTTGAAAAGATGTGTATTGTGAAAAGCGCTATACAAATACATTTGAATTGAATTGAATTCTTCAGGAGAAAAAAATCAATGTTTGCATTTAGGTGAAAAACCTGACGGAGGAGATGACCTCTCAGGATGACAGCATTGCCAAGCTGACCAAAGAGAAGAAAGCCCTCCAAGAGGCACACCAGCAGACTCTTGATGACCTTCAGGCAGCGGAAGACAAAGTCAACACTTTGTCTAAATCCAAGACAAAACTTGAGCAGCAAGTGGATGATGGTATGGACCATGAGAGAGCCAAGCGGAAGCCTGAGGGTGATCTGAAACTGGCCCCGGAGTCCATAATGGATCTGGAGAATGACAAACAGCAATCAGAGGAGAAGATCAAAAAGTGAGCGACATTGTGCCAGGTACAAGTGTAAACGCACATTTTACAAGACACGTGTGTTTAAAAACAGGAAGGACTTTGAGGTGAGTCAGCTACTCGGCAAGATTGACGATGAGCAGTCTTTTGGGATCACAGCTTCAGAAGATCAAAGAACTTCAGGTCAAATGGTTTCTATTTAAAATGATGTAGCAGAATTTCTGTTTCCAAGTAAACAAACGTAATTATTTGCATCATTCTCATAGGCCCATACTGAGGAGCTGGAAGAGGAGGCCAAGCGAGCTGCCCGTGCTAAAGTAGAGAAGCAGAGCTGATCTTTCCAGGGAACTTGGTTACACATGAAAATACAATAAAGAATAGTGAAATGCGGTAAACAAATTCAAACAAAATCATGGAAACATATCAAATTATTCTGGTTTCATAGTGTAACGCAATGAAAAACTTTGTAGTTTATATCTCA